TCAGGGAGAAAGGCATGGAGGCCCTCTACATCCGTGTGGTGACACTCCTCTACGACCTCATCATGGAGAAGGTGAGGAGCGAGCACACTTCCCTCTCCACCACGGCCAAGGGGCCCTCCAGCCTCCACAGGATCAGGGCAAGAAGAACCGGTCCCTGCAGTTGGGACCAGGGTGCTTAGCAGCTCCCAGCACCTTGGCCACGGCCACCACTGCTGGCTGCAGGGTGAACTAGCTCAAACCTTGGTTTTTCATTAAACCAGGGTTTGCCGTTTCTACCCTGGGCTATTTAAAGAAAGAAAAGGGAAAAAACAAGTAGGAAAAATCGGAGGTGGAGCTGCCATCAGCTTGGTATCACCGTCCACCCATGGTGAGATGCAAGCTGTTAACCAGCTGCCCAGAGACACGTGGCTGTGGCCCTGGCTGCTTCAGAGCAGAGCCGCTCTGCCGCAGCTTTAACTGGTTTATTTTAGAATACCTTGGATTACTGCAGTAAATGTCAGCTTAAAAATCCTGCTTCCTCGCCACCGTTCGTTATTTAGCTGTGCCTTTTTGTCTGGCTCCAGAGAGAGGGAATTAAATCCACTTTCACTCTGTTTATAGCCAATTTGTCCTGCAGATTATTACGGCTGTAATACTTGGGTTTCGGGCACCACAGAGAAATGCCCATGTTGAAAACAGTTGTGTTGCAGGAGGTTTTGCAAAGGTGTGAATTATTTTGCTTGGTCCAAAATTTTATCAAGCGTTGGCTCTCACATACGATGAACCCGTTTATCGAGTTGTGCCAAAAGGGAATGTGCCTGGGCCTCTTAGCGAAACGCTTTCCATTCACTCATGCTCCGTGTTTTACTGCTGCACCTCCAGCAGTCCCATCTGTTCCCAGCTCCAATCTAACTGGAGGCAATTTGCAGCCCCTGCAGATTCTCCGTTTAATGTTAAAACCATGATTTTCACTGCCCTTCTGATGGCGGGAGCCACCTCCCCGCAGATAAATCACTGTGCGCTCCATTTCCGAGCCCATGCCGAAAACGGGGAGGAAGCTCTGTCCTGGGGAGTATTGGAGCTGGCCCGGATGAAGTGGGCAGATTTGGGGTGGCCTGAGTGCAAGTCAAGCGGTCCGCTCTTCAGTCAAGCATGGCCATCAGCCTCGGCCACAGCCAGCTCCTTGGATGGAAGCACAAAGAGCAGTGCGTTGGAACAGCCTTTTGCACCTCACATTTTCCTGTTTTTCGCCCAAATACTGCATAGCAAATGTGCATATGGGAGTCTTGCAAGGAGCCTTCCTGGGGGCAGATAGAGGGCTCTTCCTTTTCTCCCTGTGTCCAGTAGAAGAGCAGTACAACGGAGCTGGATGACGCTCCGGATTGCTGCTCCCTGCCGCGCCGAAGCCCTAGTCTTCCCTTAACAGCGGTGCCGGAGAAGGAGGCACTGGTGCTCCGAGCTAATTAATGAAGCACTTACAGAGCCATTAGCACAGGGACCCCAGCTGAGCTGGAAGGGGAGCTCTGGGAGGGAAGCAAGGTCCATGTCGGGCGATTTGATGTTGCCAGCAGCTCCTGCACTGAGGCGGCATTCGGGCCGGTGGTGCCCGAACCGGCACTTCCCCACCGGTGCCGCTGCCATGGGGCCATTCTCTGCAGCCAGGCAGCCTGACAGGGCAGCTGGGCCCTTGGGGTCTGTCCCTCTGCTCCCACCAGCTGCACTGTCCCTGCAGCAGCTCCAGAGTCTTCAAGCTACTGCCTCAAATAGGTGCAATGCAAGGAAGGGACCTCATGGCACCCCCTGCCCTTGTGTCCTCAATGGAGTGGGAGGTGTTGGACTGCCCGGGAACTGCAGTAGATGGAGCGTGTCTTGCTGTGTCGCTGCCAGGGCTTGTCCTTAGCTACCACGAAGCTCAGTGTGTCCGGTTTGGCTTTCCCTCTCTGTCCTTACTCTGCGCTTTCCACAGATGCTGCTGGAGGACTCTCCGAATGGCGACCACGCGCAGGAGAAAATTGAGCAGTACCGGCAAGTGCGGCTGGTGCCGGCGGTGGTCGAGCAGGACTGGTGCGCCGTCGTCTCCAACCTCTTGGCCACGCCGGAGCACGACACTCGCGAGAAGGTGCTCAAGACGGTGAGCGTGCTGATGGCCTTCTGCAAGGAGCACTACCGGGGCGACGTGCGCCTCAGCGCCACGCTCGGCCTGCTGCGCCGCGAGTACGAGGAGCTGGCGGCCCAGGAGCTCCGCGAGGGCGACAAGGAGGGCTACTTCAAGGAGCTCCTTGGCTCTGTGAACACCCTCATCCAGGAATTAAGAGCAAAGTAGCTGTCGTTTCACTTAAATTCAAAGTGGTTCAAGCAAACAGCGTGGATTTTGATGGTACAAGTGTAAATGCACTTTTGAATAAATTGCGGGGCTAAATGGGATCTCCCTGGCACGCAAGTGTCCTAATGGCTTCGTTATTGAAACACAAATATTTGGGAGTGTATTTTCCTTTGCATGGAGTATTTCTGGGTAAATCGAGGCACTGGAAGCACAGAGGTAGTTTCAGCTTACACCGACTGTCATTCTTCAGCTCTACCAACTGCTGCAAATGGTTGAGTATTTTGAGTCCATCTGGAGGAGCACGGAGATCCGTTGGGGTGGGAAGGTCTGAGGGAGTTGGGACTGTCCTTGCGCAGCTCCGACTTGCCTTTTCTTTTTCTTATGGAAAAACTGTCAGCAGAACAACTGTAATCCTTCATTTCCTTCTACAGAACGTGTCTTGGCACCTAGGAAGGGCGCTTTGGTTTTATGTTTAGGCCTAACTGAGAGTAGTGGGAAGGACCTTCATTCCACGGAAATGCTGGCTGGAGGTCCCCTCTGGAGGCAGCTGGTCCAGCCGTGCTCAGAGCAGGGCTCTCCCTCCATGAGGCCAGCGCGGGTGCCGAGCGCCTCGCAGGAGCTCAGTGTCACCCCCTGGGTGCAGGTCACGTCTGCCAGACCTGCTCCACGGGGGCAGCCCCCTTCTAGGTGCTCTTGGCTTGGAGGTCACCAAATAAGACAAAGGCAAAACGTCTGCTCTGTGTCCCACCATGGCAGAGCCACACAGCTGCCCGCGCCACCAGCACACGTGACCCTCTGGGAAGCCCTCCAAGAAGGCCCCTGTGCCCCCGGCCGTCCCCAGAGCAGGACAGGGCTCATGGGGCCACCCGGCCACGCTCGCCCTGGCGCCTCCCCCTCACAAATAAGTGTCCTCAAGGCTGCACCGAGACCACCAGTTCCATCCCCACCGGCCTGCAGAGGAACCCACAGAGCATCAACCTCCAGCTCGCTCATCCTTTGCAATACATACACAGAGCTCGAAGTACATTATCTAAGAGATAAGACAGGTAAAAAAATGTACATCTTAATATACTAAGCTAATAGGTTTTGGGGTTTTTTATTGCTTTTTTTGCTTGCTTGTTTTGCAGTAACGTGCTTATTTTGAAGACAACTACTGAAGAGCCCAGGGTGCCTAACATTTAAACCAGTTGTTTTAGTAGCAAGAGAGAAAGAATGGTGTGGTATAAAACTGGACATTATATACATATATATGTGTGTGTGCACTCACATATATACACATCTATATTTATATATAATAAATTTATATATAAAATATATATATAAACTCCTTGAAAGCCAGTAGGGCTAGCACATTGGCTCACCCTCTAAGCAGATGCGTGGTTAGACAGTACAGGCACATTAAAGACTAGCAGATAATTCAGCTGTTTATCTTTTGTCCTCTAGGGGCTAAAACACTTTAAAACATTAAAACTACTGCAAAAATATCTTAGGACTGGACAAATCAGCACTACTGAAGCCTGATACCAATAATCTGGAATGTATTTACAGCTCAAATTATTATTATTTTTTAAAAGCTATACTAAATTGTAAGCCGATCAAGATACCTCAGACTGCAACTTAAACACAGCCAACGATGGGCTCTCAAATTTACTTGCCATTACAAACATTAAATACCGAGCAGGCCACTTTCCATTTTTAATGCTCTATAAAAACTGGCTTTATAAAAACAGCAAACAAGACTTTGACCTGCCCAGATGCTGCTTCTCCAGTTCTGGACTTCTTGTTTTTTCTCTTGGGTAAGTGTAAAAACACACAGGAATTCATAAAATTTGAAGAAGACAGCAAAATTATGCCTTGCAGCCATAGTTATCACAAATAATGTACAGTCTAAATTGCAGCCTGAATAAACATTATTTGGTGGCTTTCTTTGCAAGCCCAAGGCAGGATGCAGAGCAATTATTAGCAATGAGTACAATGACAATTTGCATTTGAATGCGGGGCGCTGGGGGGCCGAGGGGGGCTCCAGACCCGCTTCATTCACAGCACCACAATACACCGGCTGCTAAAAGCAACTTTATTAGTGTCCTGCAGCAAAATACATTAGTAATTTGTAACCAGGCATTAAGATTCTTGTCTTGTGGCATACAAAAGTCATTGGTTTTCTTCGCGCGATAGGTTACAGGGGGGTTTTCCTGCCTTTGCTCTGGGGTGATCCCCCTTTGGAAAGGGAGGTGAAAACCCTCAGGAAAGCCCCACTGCAGAGTCACCTGCAGATGCTCCATACCAAAAACGTAGCTGGAAATGACTCACTGTAGCCCAGGAAAGGGCTGGCAACAGCAGCCACACGTAGTTAATGCACTGCCAAGCCCGCTCCAAATCTTGCTCCGAGGAATCCTCCCCATCCCCAGCCCTTCCAAACCAATCCCAGCCCCTCCGGCTTAGGAAAGGCCACTGCATGTTGTTTTTCCAGTTGTTTTGCAATTGCAATCGGACAATCACAGCCCAGCAATTCTGTACTTTTGCATTTGTTGCAGCGGGCAGAGCTCCCTCCCTGTCCGTCCCCGTGGGGAGACACTCGCACATCCAGCGATCCCTCCGGCCCTGCGTGGAGCGTCTCATGTTCACAGCAAAACACCACAGCCCCTGCACGCGTGGCATGATTCAACTACCAATATTAACCATTAGTGTTATGGTAAAATCCTCTTTGGTTATAGAATATTTTATTTAAAGCAAGATTATACAAAATAATTTTTTTTTTCCGGCTAGAAATATACCCCAGAAATCTAAAAGCAATCTAAATCAACACACTCTGGCAGGCTGAAGCTATATGGAGAGGATGTATAAATTTGAGTGTTCCCCCACGTCATCTAAACAAAAGTTATCAAAATTATATTAAGTAAATACATTTGAAGGAATAGTAAACTTTTGAGAATCCTTAGAATATTAAAAGTAGAGTTCTGGAAGTAGCAGTAGTGGACTAAAGGGAAAAATAATCGAGACAGAACCTTTTTAAATACTTTCCATGGCCTTGAACTCACTGAGGGCCTGCACGGGATTCACGTGCTTCTTCTGGGATGCCCTCTTGATTTTCGTCTGAGTTTCATCTTGTTTCTCCCGCTTGACCAGGGGTTTCTTCTCGGGAGCCTTCATCTTCCAGGACACTGCGGGGAGGTTGAGGGAGGCCATTCCCTGCGACTTCTGGTATTTGGTGGAGGCCACGTAGGAGGCCTTCACCGTCTGCACCACGGCGTTCATCAGGTTCTTGGCGGCTTGGATAAGAGACATGGCACTGTCCACCTGGAAAACAGCAGCACACGAGTGGCTGGAGTAGGGAAGGCCAGGTATGCCAGGAAACATGGCAGTCCTGGAAGCTGCTTCCGTAAGAGTGCTTGAAAATTGATTTTTCTTTTTTTTTTTTTTTTAATCGGGTATTTCAAAATTGAGGCAACATTTTTCTTTTGACACTAAAATGACTCGTGCCACAGGGAAGAGCAGCGTTTTTGCACATTACCTGGGCATCTTCCCTACCAAGAGCCTTCTCCAAGCCTTGTATATTCCCCTGTTTGCTTCGGAGGCTGAGCCCTAACAGCAGCTCACTCACTAATGAGATGTATACAGTCGTGGCAACAGCTTAATCACTGATTAATAAATATTTCAATCATAGTAGAATATTAAGTTGTAGTAACAGGAAGCAACAGGCTTGTATCTTTAGGCAGGGCTGAAGCAACATCTAGGATTTACCCTTGCACAATTAATGTCCATTTCTCACGTGATGCTAAACTGCAATTTGGCATTTGGGACTGCAGTCTGGAGGGTGACAGCAGAAGTAGCAGCACGTGGAAATGCAGGGGGAAAAAGGGGATAAAGACCAAACCTGTGATAGTGAGGGAAGGCAGCAGGCGCTGCAAGCAGCCAGGGAAGCCAGCACCTTACGGATTTGCTGGAATAGCAGCTTAATTGCACTCGATTCCCACGGGCTGGTGGGAGTCTGCGCTGAGTCAACCGTTGTACCTTGCACCGATGCAATCGAATTAGCAAAGTAAATTGTAAAATTGAGTGTTGAGTCAAGCCAGATTTACCCCTTGCTGCCTGCACGTCACGAGGTCGCCAGCCTTGGAGCCCACGCGGGACCCCCCGGTTTCAGCCCAACGGTTGTGTGGAGGGAAAAGGCAGCAGTGCTCACGGGGACAGGGCTGGCACCCAAACTCCCTCCCCGCAGCTCAAAGCCTTAACCAACAGCCTTGCAAAATTAACCCCTCTGCTCTTTTACCTATTTACCTGCTCGACAAACCTGGCCCCTAGTTGAACCCCCTGGTTTGGCATTTAAATGTTCCTCACAGGCAAAAGAGGGGACCGAACCCCAGCCCACGTCCCAGGTGTTTGCAGGACCCAAGGTCTCAGACACGGCGCGGGCAGCCCCTCGCCCGCTGCCATGTGCCCTCCTGCAAACCAGCCCCTGCTCTCCTTGCCCCGGCCACGGCACTCAACCCAGCCCCGCTGCATCCCCTATTTCTGTGGCTCTTCCCAGCCTGAAGAACTATATTAAACACAAGGAAAGCCAGAAGGGGCATTTCCAACTGAATTGTTGGGTTACCTGGGCTGCAAGCTCTTCCTGCCTTGGTTGCAGCCCTGTTTTGACAACACTCTTACAGGTAAGAGGCCACCAGGCTGCAAGGAAGACAGCAATAAAGGGCTACCCAAAGTTTTGTTCCTTCTGCAAACTCCCTACACATCACACGGAAAGGGAAAAGCACTAGTCATCAAGCCTAACTGCCCAGTGCAATGAAAAATATGTCCAAAAAAATCAAGAACTGAGCTCCATCCCCACCTCTCCCTGCAAAATATCAGCATACAGATTCCTCTCAGCGGGAAGCATTTCGTGAAGGACAGGGAAGGCTCAAAATTATTTGCTAAGCAATGGCTGAAGGAAGGGAGCAGGCTGGCCTACGGCAGCTTTCAGCTGTCACAAAACAGCACAGCCAGTTGAAAAACCCCGTGTTCTTCGGGGCATAGCTATTTTGAAATATTAACATCCCTGGAGAATTACAGGGCCAGACACTCAACATGCTCAGTCTGTGCAGAAACACAGGGTGGGTTCAGGCATGCTGATTAAAGTAATTTAACCTCATTACAAGTAAAAAACAGTCTTTGAAAAAAAAAGAGGTAGGTTACATAAAGGTGAAGTGAACCTACCTACAAATAATCTTGAGAAAGAAAAACTGAGAGTTTATTTTTATAAACATGTCCTCCAAAAACAATGAGGCCACGTGTGCAGGACTGGCAGAACTATAAAACCTGCACGTGTTAAACCTTGACTGGTAGCTGACAGATACCTTATCCACATGCTATACTACTTAGCACAAGAGCCTGGCGTGGAGGAATTGCTTCCCTTGGATGACAAGGCACATGGAAGGGGCAGCTCATACGCACCCCAGACACCACCAGCTCCCCGCCGAGGTTCTGGACTTCGGCCTTCACTTTGCTGCAGATGTTCAGCTGGTGGCAGTACAGGGCGATGCGCTGCAGGTAGGCGAGGAGATCCTGCTTGCACGCCGAGTCCGGGCACTGCAAACACAAAGGAGAGGTTTTATTTCACAACTGTGAACAGAAGCCATGGACTGATAAACCAGAGGGATGTTTTATAGCACTGAACGCACTCGGAGATGGTTGCACTTTCTGGTATGTTTTGCTTTTCATAAGACAACTCATCAACAAACAATCATAACTAAATACATCTATCTTAAACCAGCCAATGATAAGCCCAACAGTTACTGAATTATATCCTGCAAAACAGATTTGCAAAATATTCCTGACTTCTGCTCACGTTTCTTAGCAGTGCAGGAGCCAGATCCCTTGCCAGGCATGAAATACAATTTTTCAAGCACTCGCCGAAGCGCTTAGCCATAAGATAAAACCAACGTTGTTAGCTTTGCAATTGAAAGGCTACATAGGTACCAGGGGCTGTACCGCAGCTCAGAAACCTGCCTTCCCAACGCTGGTACAGGCAGAAGTGGAGGAGCATCGCTTGCCCTGCAGAACAGAGCGGTGACGTGATTAACGAGTGTGTCCCACGCTGGATATTGCAACAAGGGAAGGCAGTTGAGGGGCCGCGGCAGAGCAGGAGGGACTCTGCAAGCCTAAGGCAAAGAGGCTTTGGGAAGTCTTTTACTACACACGCTGGTCCCTCAGGGTCTTCAGGATGGCAACGAGCACAGTGGCCAGCTGCAAGGTACAAAAGGCCATCGCAGATCTCCTGGCACGCTCCAAGTTTGCGGCTGCGCCGCGGGCAGTGTCCAAACCAGCAGTCGATCCCAGCCTGGGCCTATTCCTGACACCAGGAGTTACAGAGCGTTAGTGACGCGTGGGATGCGCCGCGCCGACGGGCGGCGTCCTCATGTCCTGCGGGCTCGGGGCAGCACGAGCGGCAGCACCCGCAGAAGGGGCAGGTTCAGATTTGCTCCGAGCCTCCCTGGGGCCCCGGGCAAGCGGGACTCGTTGTCACACTGCGCTGCAAGTTCATGTGCTGCTGTCCTGCCCTCAGACGGCCCCTTGTCACGTCTCATCATCCCTCTGCGCAGCTGCAGGTCTTCCACACCAAGCACAAATCAGCCTCTGAACGCGCACTGGTCTTCTTCTCCAAGGTTTGCAATATGATGTTAAATATTACTTCACTTTTTGCAGGAAAAGGCAGAGGACTAAGACCAGATCTCAGTCCTCACCCTTGCTAGGTCACTGCATATTTGGGGGTCTCAAATCTGGAACATTTGCTTCACACACCAGCAACTCACTCATCAGCCCACAGTGGTCACAGGCTGCTTCCCAGCCCAGCAGCGAGGCTCTGAAGGAACGACGAGTTCAAGTGAAGCGTTCGGCAGTTTTTGTTCTTTTTGATTCCAGGGCTAGGGCATTTTTTTAAGCCCAGATGGCATCACAGCCCGGCAAGGATAAAGCAGCTGCACTGGGCTGCACAGAGAGACGCTTCTGAGCACGGGCTGTTACTTAAAAACACTGCCCAGAGACACACACGACGCGTGAGGGGGCCTGGCACGAGCCCATCACGCTGGGTAGAACAGGCTACGGAGGTTTTAGGAGCTTTACAGGCATCCAACCTCGTCCACAAGCTCACAGAGGCCACCTCCTGCTTCTCAAGCCTGATAAACTAGAAATAAACCCAACTATCTGCAACTCTTATGCAGGTAAGTTGCTCCCATCAGCGACGGGAGAACGGTGCATAACAAAGCAGCAAAGTTTGCCGGGTCATTTTTTAAGCTAATCAATATTAGTCGGCAGCACAAGACGTTTTAGAGGAAGTCCGCAAATAACACTGTCCAAAGAGCTAATGAAAAGCTGAAATTAGCATTTGGGAAAACACTCTCCGTCTTCCCAAAAGCTCATCTAACAGCAGCACAGTGAAGTGAATGTTGACAAATGCACAAAGCGGCCCGTCAGCGGGAATG